ATGACATGCCTCTTCCTTTTCATTATAGTGAAACATATTAAGAAGGCCCTTTCAGTGTTTGCAGTCTGTGAAAATTACACAAGCCAGTCTCCAGAGTGCATATAACAGAAATCAAGGTGCATAGAAATTTTTTTTGAGAGCCCAGCTACGACACATACCTTCATGCTTTCAAAACTTCTTGTATTGTGCGAGTTCACAATCTGATCGCTCTACCAGAACTCACATGTGTACTGAGAATTGTGAGGAGTGTCAGAGGTTTATGCATGGCTCTTGCTCAGGCAGTTCTTGACTAGTGATTCTTTGGACAAGTCTGAGTGGAGGATAACCTCAGCAATGATGTATGAGCTTCCCTCTTGACAGTGCTCGAAAGCATCTCTGCAGCTTTGTGTGCTCAAGTTTGTATTAAATGTGCGGGTTTTGGGCACACAGTATTTTCATAAAGCAAACAGGAACATAGATGTTGTTGGGGCTGCCATTTTTATTAATTATTTCATTGTAGTGAAAGCACATGTCCTTTATGCTCACATGCTGTCATTTTGACCGATATCCTCGCTGTTTTAATATAAGCACTCCTTGTCCAGCCAACTGAAATCAAAATGTGGGCGATATTGCACAATAAAAGTTCTTTTTTGCACAGGTATCTGCTTAGTGTCAGAGACCCCAGCAGATGAAGGAAGCCCTGCCGAGTGTACAGTGCCTGGTCTTGCACCTGGAATTCAGCTAGCCTACACTGTTCCTGAACCACAAAAGGTACAAAACTCTCTGTATCTAGGGGAAATGCTTTTTAATGTTTTTAAGCTGGGGTGCACAGGGGAGCAAGATGTTGGCGGCGAGGCATGATGTCTCTGTGTGCATGTCTGACTAAGGATAAGCGTAGTCTACTTCCAAGTTACTTCCAAGATTAATGTATAAGTTATTATAACCTAATTACTTTTATAACTGGGCAACATTCATAGTACATACTTGTGTTAGTTGATTACTGGTAACACTATAATATCTTTAACTGTAACTATGTAGCTCCTCTACATTATGTGAGATTATAGAGAGTGATTTGTGTATGCACCTCAAAGAGGACCTTCATTTTTGCAGCTTGCTTTCTCATAAAAAAAGGGGGGGAATAGGGGGGATATTGTGTGTATTTGGCTCTATCGGCAGTGTCCAATGTGCAGCCTAACCTCAGAAGTGGTGTGCTTCATTCTTTACCCAGCAATTTGTAAGAAGTCTTGTTTGTTGGCATCAATTCCCAATGCTAGTAAAAAGAACCACTGCACTGCATTAGCAGCATTTGCTGCAGTGGCTCCATCAGTATGTATATGCTAATGTTTGACATTTCTAAATCAGAATTTTCAAAATGCCACGCTTGACAACAACTCTTCTTGACAGCACTGAGGAAGCTACAGAACAAAGCACATGCCTGTTACCACACCAAAAATAGTTCTTAAGTTCACTGATAATTTACTCATTTGCCTTGCTGGAATAAATGCCTCTTTATTTATTGTGAGACCCAAACAGTTGCGGGAGGTCGTAGGTGAAATACACATATTACATGGCATCTATGGCATAGTAGGTCAGTGTGCGACAGTAAACACACCATTTAGTTGTGGAAGAAAAATATGCTTGTTATATGACACTATAAATTTACACTGAACCATCTAAATATTTTTTCTATTTACATTTTCATGTCATTAATCTTCTAAATGCATTATTAATGGGAGGGGGCAAAACTGAAACGATTTTTGTCTGGATTATGATTTATATCGTCTTTATGGTGTAGGTTTGTTTGAAGCTGCCAGATGCATTTTCTGTCCTGATTTTACTGTGTAGTGTTTGTGTCTTTGAAATGTGTGAAGTGTATTTTAGTACTCCATCCTGTATCGGCCTTTTGGCTGACAGTATAAATAAATAAATAAATGTCGGGATAAGTAGTTGCCGAGTGTAGAAAGTAAGTGGCGCTATGATGACATCCAACTTAGAGTCACTGTATATGCTACCTTTAGGTAGCAGAGTAACGCATTTGTTTTCCAACGCCGCTAGAAACCATGCAGTGCAGAGAAACTGGTGCACAGGCCGCACCACCGAAAGCAGTTGTCATCTACCTGGAATCTATCAAGTGACCATCGTACGCTCTGTATCTCATTTGCTACATACTGGTGCTTTTATTTGCTTTAGATTTATGTACTTAACCTTCGACAGCAAAGCATTTGTGTGTATTTGGCACCATTTTTTGAAAAACATTTTGAAATAATCAATGCTGTAAGCTTAGTGAGACGCTTCTTGAATCTCGGAGGACCTATACTTTTGGTTTGTGAGTTGCTGCTTATCTTCTATTTCTGGCCCCACTTGACCATGCGGCAGCAGCGGTGCGTGTTATTTGGCACTACGCTACGCCTTTGCGCTTTGCGTTACTGCACAGACAGGGAAATGCTTTTGTACTCCCGTGGCACAGTCCCGAAAGCAGGTGTTTCTTCTTTCTTCGCTGGTCGTTGGCACACTAGGCACGTCGACAGGCGATCGGCAAGAGGCTTAAGCAAGTCGCCTGTAAAAACAGAGTGCAGCTTTGCCGCGTAACTATGGTTGCTAACCAGGCAAGATGGCGGACCAATTGCACTACTCTGCTCTTGTAGGGAGCATATACAGTGAATGTAATCGAACTGGCCAGTGCTACTAGAAAGGGACGTTGCACTGCATTGGCAGCATATACTGCAGTGGCTCTACTAATCTGTATAGGCTAATGCGTAACATTTGCAAGCCAGAATTCACTAATAGAATGCGAGAAAGTAGGTGGAGCTATGATGACATCCAAATAGATTGAAAAAAAGGTTGTTTCAGCAATGATATTAGTGTTTATTTAATTGCAAGGTGCAATAAGTATTATTGCTCTTAGTGTCATAAATGATGAGCTATTGCTCATTTAGCATGTAAATTCTAAAATATGTAGAATTGAACGATGATCAAGAAGCTCACATAGGCATATTTCACTCTCACTTTAGTTGTTGCAACTTTACTGTTGGATGTGGCTGTACAAATGTTCAATAACAGACAGAATGCAAATGGGTCAGGTTACATTCACATTGTGAAGAACACAAACTAAGTGGTCTATAAACAGTAAAACCTCGGTGATACGATCAGCCTAGCACGAATTTTAGTGTGATATGAAATTTATGTGGTCATAGCCAAACTCCATTATCCTGCAATGCTCTAGAGCACAGTTTATTTTATTAAAGGTGGATGAGGACAGAAAGATGAAGCAGAAGGGCTTGGTGGAAGAGCTGGGCCTCACAATGTCAACATGCATGGTTGTTGAGGTCGTGCACTATGCATGGCACACTACTACGAACTCTCCGAACTAGTTAATGCTGGGCTGTAAATATGCATCCCCCAAAACGGCTCCAACCCTACTATAAAAAACAGTAAAAGTAAATGGCTACAACAAAGGACATCAGTTCTAAAATTTTTTAGCACTATTTAAGTCACTTTTGCTGCAGTACCTTTTGGTGTTATGCAGTAAAGCATACCAAGATTAGAATAGTCTACTAGCTGTCATGTGTCACAGCACACTTGGTTTCTTAATTACCCGTGCGTACTAGCCATATATTTACCAGTGCTACTGCAATCGCTAATGTTTAAAAACTTAACTTGCAATCATTCATGTCTGCCTGTGATGTTTCTGTGGCTACAAGAAACAATAAATGAAAAAGTATGCCAGCTTTCTTTTTTGCATGCCTACTAACTCACTGTTTTATGTACAAATATTTTTCGTGACCTCTCAAGATTCGTATCACCGAAGTTTTGTTGTAGTAAAATATTTGTTGCCCAGGATAGGAAAGCGCACTCAAAGGCTACAGAGAAGTATGTCTGACAATACAAGAAAACAAAAAACATGCACTTTCTAACAGACAGGTTTAGTAAAGTTAACAGATAGGAAGATCTTTCTTCACAGTACTGTACAAATTGACTTAGATGCTAATGTGAAATCAGAATAGAAAGGCTTCCTGGCTTATTCATTATGACTTTTACTGGTAGTTCATTACACTCTTACATATCTGTATCAATAGCATATATTCCAGTCACCATCTTCATGTAGTAAGTCATGATTCAGCATCACTGCTCAGACAAATAAGTTGTACGGCAAGACTGGTTTAGCATTGAAGCTTTTTCATAGTTCAGTACTTCGACATTTTGTATTGGTTTACTACCTCACCTCTTCATTGTGCTTTTTTTATTTTTTTGCCAAATTAATTTTTTTTCCATATTGAGCATGTCAATGGGTTTTCTTTTTCATCATCAGGGTGAAGACACAGGAGTTGCAGCTGAAAGTGAACAGACATTGGAAGAACTTATGGCACAAATGAAATCGTTGTAAGAGAACCTATGCTCCAAATAAAAGCCCTTCCATTAGCTGCACATGAATATTAAGATATCTGCAAAACTTTCATTCTGTACAGACTCATCAAAGGGCGACAGTTTTTTTTTGCAATCGTCATGAAATGTGACTGTGATCGCATGCCATGACAAAAGCAAATGCTATGCTTTTTGTAATTAATATATACATTTATTTATGCACACAATACAATTGATTACTCATTATCACTGCCACTGCTGTTTGAGCACAGTTCACCAGCACAGTCGTGTATCATGCCATCCTGCCTGCTACCAACATTAGAGATCCTTATTTTAAAATTTGCAACAATCACTTAAATCTTATTCATGGGAATATACATTATGACTTGGAATACGTCAGTTGCAATTTGTTTCTCAATTACTGTTCTTGGTAAGATTCGGGATGGGGCCCTTGCACGAATCTACAGAGTATTACAAAATTCAGTGCAGAACTGATCTATTCTACATATTCACTCTGCATATAAAGGTAAGCATGATTAAATATTAGTTCAGACTTGTGATATGAGCTTAACCGGGTACTTGGAATGTTCCTGCATTATGGTTATTGTAAGTTTTAAATACTTTATTGCCTTTTTATGACAAGCATGAGAGGGAGTGTGTGTGCTTCATTATATTATGTTTATTCATCATAAATTTAGGCAAGAAACAAAGAATTCATATATATTTTAATGGGATCTGAACAAAACAAGTTGAGGAAAATGGATTCTGAATGAAGAAAGTTTAGCCGCATGTCAGTTCATATATCACTCTTTTTTGGCACCTCTTTTCATCAGAAGGCTTGGTAAAAGTGCAACTCCTGCAATAGCTGCCATCTTGGCCATTGCAGTCCACGTGAGTATGTCATTCATGGACTTCAACTCTGCAAGTATGCAGCCTGTCTGCACACATATAAAATTGTAAGGCATCAGGCCTGTAAGAAAGAAGTGCTTTAATTACCACACAGATGTAACGTATCAGTGAGAAAAGTTAAATGCCCACAGATTAGAGAAAAAGAGGTGGGTAATTGTCACCACACTGTTGAAAAATGTAATGAAAAAAAAAATCTAAGGCCCTAGCAAATCTAAGTTTACATGGCACTCCAGCACAGCATTAAAAAAAAAAAAACACTAGTATGTAGGCTCATCAAATCTAAAAATTCACAGGTGGCTGTGCAATAATCTAAAAATTACTTCATCATCTAAAACAAAGTTTGTTAAAAATAAGCAAAATTGTACATAAAAACCCATCCCTTTCTACATATATAGCCATTTAGCAATATTTTGTAAATTACACCGTGTCTACCACTGGTGTTTTTTTTTTGCCTCCAATAAAACGTGATTCATAAATTGTGACATGCTGAAGCCTAAACGGTGTTTTATTATTTTTTTCCTCACAGGCTTAAACACTAGTGATATGAGACATTTCACCCATGGTGTGTCATAGGAACATAAACTTTGCGAGAAATAAAAAATGGCTGGCGACTCGTCTCTTTCAAACATATTTCAAACGAACAGCATTTTCAAAATTTACACGAGTGCAACTATTAGAGAGCATAATAAAAAGCCCACTAAAAAGTACATCACAATGGTTTAAGCAATGGCATGTGTAAGGAAAATAAAATTTCATTGCAACTTCTTGGTCAAAGTGCAATCGCTGTGCAATTGAGGGCCAACTACATCTACGCCTTTGGCACTTGTCCTGCTTATCATTATCTCAAGCCTTGATACTTCCTGTTCTATTCCCTCTACCTCTTCACAAACATCACCTTCTCCCACCTTTTCTACAACGTGTCTCTTGGGGTAGAACGGGTTTTCACAGTCAGCCTAATCTTTATTCTCCCTCTTGCTGACTTGTTTTCGCTGCCTTTCAACCACAATGGACAAAGAGGTGACAACATGTAAAAGTCACTCGCGAACTTGAAACCACCACCGAGGCTCTGATAACTTACGTGCATAGAATGAGCCTAGCATCCATTTTTAGTGCATGTAGGTCCCAGAAAGAAAGATCAGAGCACATTGTTTAAATAACGACCTTTATTCATTGTCTTAGGCTGAAACAAAACTTTTACCCTGCTTACTTTTACTCCCTGCCTCTTAGCAGTGAGCAAACACTACTTCTTTATTGCTTCATCAAAAACCTATTGCACCTAGAGCAGAGTATATCTGCAAAGCATTTTGCACAACTTGCAATATGTATTTCAGTGGTGTAAGGCTTTTCTTTAATGCCAGTACATAATAAACACCCTATGTTGCTTGAATTCATGTATAAATATAATAAAAATATGCATAATTATCCTTTCTCTTATTTGAGAAATATTATGTCTGTGTTCTCTCGCTGTAAGCCACAGTGAATCTGCACCAACTCGTCCAGTTTTTCATATTGGTTATTGTTATTTTTGTTATACGTCTGTGTTTTCTCACTCAAAAAATAGAGTAAAAACTAGTTAACTAAAGTCACTACATAAAGGGGGTCTTTATTGGGTGGGTGGGAATTGCATGCTGCGATTGCACTTATGATTACAGGAACAAAGTAGGGCAAGGTGCTCGTGTTTGTCATTCTGTGAGCCATACTATGTCCCCATCTTTGAAATTGTATTTTGACTGGCTGCAAGGGATTTGAGTACAATAATGTAGCACTTATCCTGCATTTGAAAACAGGAAATATTCAGTCACAACAAATATTTCCCAGAAATGTGTGCAATGAATATGCATTACACACTTAACATATATATTTGTGCATTAGATAACTTTGTATTATATTCAAATAGCAAAAAACGAAACAAAAAAATATCTATGCAGAGTTTTTCACAATGTTCGAAACCTTCCTATCACAAATGCAAGAGATTGCACTGAGCACATGATGCATTATACTAGCTAAGACTTGCTAGCCGTAAATGTAAAAAATAGGCACAAATAATGTAATTTTGTCTCTACATAAAGCATATAGGATACCTTAAAGAAGGGCTCCAAAAATCTGGCACCGAAAACTTATTTCGGCATGTAACAGCATGTGTACATCTTTTTTTTTTCTTCTATTTAATGAGGGCCAATTATTTATTCTGTTTTGCTTGAAAGCTCCTATCTACATAAATGGGAATGAAGAAATTGCTTTTCCAAGCAACCACCACACCGATTTTGTGTATGTTGCCATAGCAATTGCAGGAAGCAGGTATTTTTATTTAGGTCATCATTTTATTACTGTTGAAAATTTCAATCGAACTTGGCAATCATGTGAATTACACCTTATAATTCACATAAAGCAGACAAAATATATGCATTATAGACTGCTTGGTAACAGAGAACTAATTTGTGAGTATAACACACAACGCGAAAAGTTCAGCTTAAAGTTCACACCACTGCGATAACAGTTTCTGGTGTAGTTAACGTCATGCTTGGAGCTTTCTTTAACTTACACTCTTTGTTTTCATGAAAATTTTGCACTCAAGTCACCAGAATCTAACTTTTCCCCTCCAATGCAATAAATTGCATTATTTTAATCAAATTGATACAGCAGTATTCTCAACATGATTTCTGCATTTTTCATGTATTCACTCCAAAAATTCAAAGTCAGCCTAGAGCTAAAACTGTTTCTTGAACGCCAGGTTTTTCAGCAGGTACATCTAATTAACTTGAAAGCAACTGTTGGCTAAAATAGTTTCTTGAACGCCAGGTTTTCAAGCAGGTACCCCCAATTAAGTTGAAAGCAACTGTTCGCTAAAATAGCTGAACAAGGTAGTCAGACATGCTAGAAAAATAAATACGACACAAATAAACAAAAAAACACACTGATGTATAAATGCTCACTATGCAATTCTTTGAGCACATGGTTATTTTTGTACTATACACCTCTTATTTTTGCAAGCAAAACGAGTCTGTGCCATTGTTTGCCTGATAAGCTTGTGGAATCGCCATTTTCCAGCTGCCATGACAGCATGCAACTGTTACTATGGCCTCAGTGAAAAATAGGCGGTTTAACACCTTTTACATGCTTAAATAGCACAACTAAACAAGGAAAGATGTGAATATGCACCACAGAACAAGGACTGTGCATTTGCTATGCCATTCATAATGCAAGAATTAAGTACAATAATAATTATGACTATAATAATGTAAAGCTAACTACATGACGAAGTAAAGCATTCCTTTTTGCAATTATGCTGTATATCATTAAATAAACTATAACCACTTTGTTTTCTACTCTTCCGGCTACCTTTTGATTCTCTTTTCATTTGAAACATTCAGGTGCTGGGTCTTCAAGCATGGGAACCTATCAGTAGCATTTTCGTTTTGCAATTTTGTATGACAGCTAGAACTTACCAATGAAAACTGATATGAAGAACAGGTGCAGAGGAACACCAACAACTGGAGACGCAATGTTGAGAAACCAGTTTGGTGTCATCGGGAACAAGCGCAAAAAGAGAAGCCAGTAGAGGAGGCGATCTTCATTTTTTTTTATCTGAATGAACAGCATGCAAAAAGGAAGCTTTATTTATGCACAGCAAGTACACAGAGGTATAAAAGTCACAAGTTTTGTCATTTAAGGTAGTAAAGCATATCTTGCTTTCCACAAGAATGCATTAATCAACACCATCACTACCTTCTTGATAGCAGCCACATAGCAGTAAATTTAAAAGTAACAAAGTGTTTTGAGGATTGCATTACCACTGCATGAAAAATTATTCAAATATTTTATTCACAAATTATCTGGTACACTGGTACCCTTCCTATCAAGAGACATATCCTATATAAGGTGGCCAGTTGTTTTAACAGAATTTCTCTGCCATATTTCAGCCGGTTCATTGTTTTCTTATCCTCACAAATGGCTTTGCCTCTTTGCATTCCTTCTAGGGCTTTCATTACTTCCCTGTTGTTACTGGTAGTATGTCGAATTTTGCTGGGCTAATATTGCTTCTTGTGATATCATCCTGGTTATTTTAGCTTCTGTACAGCTCTCTGTAGAATTCCTCTGCCACATCAATTATCCTATCCATATTGGTTATGACATTGCCTTCTTTGTCTCTTAATGCATACATCTGATTTTTGCCTATGAACAAGTTTGTCTTGGCAACTTTTAGACTTCTGCCGCTTTTTACAGCCTGCTTGATTCTCTCCATGTTATACCTTCTGATGTCGGCTACCTTACGCCTATTAACTTCGAAAGCTCCACTAGCTCAATTTCATCGGTTGCATTTCAGGCTTTCGGTTTGTCATCTCTTAATGAGATTTTTTTTGTCTCCTGGGATAGTTTGCCAGTGTCCTGTCTAGTGACTGTACCTCTGACTTCCATTGCACACTCTTTGATAATACTAGTAAGATTGTCGTTGATTGTGTCAGCACTAACAGCCGTTACCTCATTTAGAGCTGCAAATATATTCTGAAGTGAAACTCTGAATTCCTGTACTTTCCCTCTCACTATTAGCTTGTTAATTGGCTTCTTGCATACCAGTTTATGCCTTTGCTTTTTTAAATCTAGGTGAATTCGAGCTTTTACCATTCTATGGTCATTGTATCGGATCTCGCTAACTACTTCTATATCCTGTACAAATCATCCTTTGATAAAAGTACAGCTATGAGGAGCAGGTAGTTTCAGCGATTAATTTTGGCACACTCCAGGATCTTATTTGCCAACTTTTCAGTTCTTTCAGAAGTAGCACATATAGTTCTACTGCAGATGATTCTTTCGGGCACTCGCACTGAGAAAACTTTGTCATCTAATGTGCATTCATCCTTTATCCTGGTATTGATGTCCTAAAACCATGATTTGATTATGAGAGATGCTGTAGTGGAGGCCGCTGAAAATTTCCACCATCTGGTGTTCTTTAACGTGCACTGACACTGCACAGAACACAGGCCTCTACCGTTTCGCAGTCGTGATTGAAACCGCGACCTACGTGCAGCAACTGAGCATCATAGGCACTGTTCCTCCATGGCAGACTGCATTCATCCTTACTTCTCGCCCCGCCGCGGTGGTCTAATGGCTAAGGTACTCGGCTGCTGACCCGCAGGTCGCGGGTTCGAATCCCGGCTGCGGCGGCTGCATTTTTAATGGAGGCGGAAATGTTGTAGGCCCATGTGCTAAGATTTGGGTGCACGTTAAAGAACCCCAAGTGGTCGAAATTCCCGGAGCCCTCCACTACGGCGTCTCTCATAATCATATGATGGTTTTGGGACGTTAAACTCCACATATCGATCAATCAATCAATCATCCTTCTCGAACTTTTCACTGTCTTGTTGCAATACTGAGTTTACATTTGACAGTAGTAATATTTGTTGTAGCAAACTTAATTTTTTGTTTTGCTTGTGGAGTCCACCTCAATAAGCATCTACTGTTCATGCTTATTATTAGATCAGCTGGCACGTTCTGTTTGGACCACACTCGTTAGGTTAAACAAAATGCATACAATCACACTCCACACAACATGGGGACATGCAACTTACTAATGTACAAGATTTATATAGTGTTTAAAAGTTTCGATTCTCTGGCATCTTTACTTGGCATGTACTACTTTATTTTCTCATTTGGTTTGTAAGCTTTGCTAACAGTACACTTGGCAAAAAACATGACAATAAAAGTGGTCATGTAAATGGCTACATGTGTATCATTTACTTTGTTGGTGACATAAGTTTCATTGTATTAGATAATTTAGCTTGCCAGTGAATTGTGCTTGGCACAGATACAATGCACAGATACAATGCACCCATACAAAATGTTCTACCAGCATGTGAAGCAGTCATTTATATCAATAGGAGCAATATCGTTTTGTTTGGATTTATCTTAAACATTAAGCTTAACGTAGTGATGGTAGAAATAAGTTAATACATACCTTGTCTTGCAAAAGCTTTACTTTATCAGGAAAGTATCTCACAACATACTTCTGGCCACAAAATTTGGACAGCAAGTAGCACTGTGACGCACCAAGGCCAGAAAGGAGGCAAGTCAACAGAAAACTTTTCCAGATGCCGAACAGTGCACCAGCGAGAACATTCTAAAAAAGCCAAGAGAGCGTAATAATTTTCAATATAAGCATGCCCAGTTATCGATTTTAGGATATGATAAGAAAGTGCATTTACCAAAAAAACGGATCCAGGAATGGCAAACGTTTGTTTGTACAAGTATGCCGACGAAAAAAGTAGCAAGACATAAGCCGCGTGTTGCTCCTTGTACGCACTCAGGAGTCCTGCTAATTCCTTCAGCTCTTGGTGACTACTGGGAAATTTTAGGCGACCCCTGAAAAGTAATACTTGCAAATTATACGCAGTCACAAACGACGTCGTCTTTCAAATTAACTGCGGAAAGATATTTTCCTCTTACACATTATCTTCGTGGCCAATGCTCGGAAGGAATGTAGCCAGGAGATATAACCATCCAGTCCCAGCAGCCACACAAGCAGGAAGCAGCAGAATAGGCGTCATTTAAGCGAGTTGCATAGCACTTGCTGCGAGCTTGCAAGTCTACGGCGCAGCGTTCTCTGCACGCAGGGATGTCACGCTCATAACCTCGGTTGTCTGCGCTGCAAATAGTAATCTGAGGATACCATTGCAACCTCCCGTCTTCACGCTACAAATACTGCTCTTTCACGTCGCTAACAGCATTTTTCTTCGCTGTGACCCAATCCCATTAGAACAACAAAGTGACATATAGCTAGAGTTTTCGCGACGAACGAATTCACGGGAAATAGTCTGCTCCACACCGCGCACGCCGCTAGCGCCTCCTAAGACCCTACTGGCGAATACGCCCAATTTAACGACTGAGCTGAGTCGTGATAGCATCCAAAATATGCCAACTTGGTTCAGTTATTAAATTATTTAACTTACAAGCTACGGTGCATTGTGGCAGTACCAGTGAGTCACATTGCATAATCTGGGTGACGCAAAGTTTGCCTACTGATAACCTTGGGAGATCCGCCTGCTTCCCAGCCTGCTTCCGTTATTGAAAAGGTTTTTCCGGTTTCGCCGCCGCGTCGCAACAGCCAAAGGCTGCGAGTGTCGCACATTCGAAGTTCACTCTAAAGCAGAGAGGTGGGCTCATTGAAACTCCGGTCGTCGCTCTGTCGAGGCCTGAGGAGTTGAGACATCGCGATGGGGTCGCAGATGGTGCTAACCACGCTTTTCAGGGTTGGAGGACTTGGTATGAGACAAATGGGCTACCGGATTGCCGATGTTCATTGCGACCAGCTATGTCAGCGGCTAGCCAACCAAGCAGCTTTACGACGTCATTTCTCCGCTCGTCACTCGTCTCTGAGAAAAGACGACGGCCTAGACTCAAAATTGGAAAGCAGTCAATCTTCCGTGAAGCCCCTGCTGGAACCAGATGACGAGACACGCTCAATTTTGAATGACATTTGGCGCGATTTCGAATGCGTTCCGCCAAAGCCGAGCCCGGCCGAAGGAGGTAGCAGTGGCGGTAGTCCAGGGCCCGCTGCCGCACCGAAAGGAGACCTGCCGAAAGAAAACGCAACAGATGTGCCCCGAGTTCGCAGCCTGCTGCACTCTGCCAGAGCCAACGCCAAAATGCTATTTGCGGACGAAGACTCGTCGATAATCTTGGACTCTGCCGAGGAGCAAATGTCTGATGATGTGGATTACATTCCTCAAAACATCAAAGTTGATCCACTGGAAGGCTTCAACTTGAAACGTGAGTGTCTGTCCGATCACGCAGTTACATCCAATCAAAGTAGCGCTGATAGGGAGTTTTCGAATAGGGGCCCCATGAGTTTGGGGCCCCAAAGCCTTTTGCGTATGCATGCTTTGGGTCAAGCAGGAGCGAAGAGTTTTCAAATAGAGTCTACAACGCTTTGGACACTCACCCAATTCTTGGTCACTTTAGTACTGCACGACAGCCGGCACTCCAATGAGTTCCGTCACGTTTGTCCGACGCAAAGCTTTTGGGGCAGGCTTTGGGGCTCCCGCTAAATTCAAGAAATAGTGTCCTCAACTCAAAACTAAAACGCAGTTTGAGTTTTGCACATGCGCCGTGGCCTTGACGCTATTTCTTTGGGGCCCTTATTCGAAAGCTCCCTAATGTAGCTTGATAAGCGTTTGCAAAGTAGTCTCGCTTCATTGAAAAGACGCAGAATACATGAACTCTTTGAACTTGAAATTTTAAAAAAATTGTAATGATAGTATACTACGTATATTCTGTTATTAACGGCAGCGGACGTTCGTCACTGTGTGTTAGTCGCCAGATAACCATTTCAGATTTTCTATTTGTAATTAAAACATTTAATGTATGTTGTAACTGTCGAATTGAGGCGAGTTACAAGTTACCACTCAGCTGGAGTATAAAGGATTGCATCAGGTTGCTAATACCTGCCTTTAGTTTCCGTCACAGTGTGGATTGAGCAGAATATGGGCGTCGGAGTCCGAATGAGTCATTTCTGAATAAAATTTTGCCGATTGTAAGTTCGGGTAAGGCGTGAGCGAAAAATAAATATCTTGTGAGCGAGTTCCTACGCATGACTTGATAAACGCTGACTATCTTCACTTGCATTGCAAGATAACGAATTATGAATTTTATTGGCAAATTCTGGTGAAATATTAATTTAATAAATAATTTATCACCTGTTTACTGACAGATGTCACAGCCATAGCGATTCACTGATGCAAAAAATAACTTCAGGATGGTGACTTTCAAAATAATTTAGCTTGGATCCAAATGGCCAAACATAAAATATCACAAAACACTATGCAGAAGAATGCAAACAGGGTGCGGCACTTTGTTTACCCAAATGCTTGGATGTGCTATTTCAGAAATTACGTTTAAAAGTCAGAAACAAGCTATCAGGTGGTATTGGTTAGCCTTTATCATTATAAAGGTAGCACCCCTGAGATATAGACAAAGAAACATCAAGTCATGCAAACATGAACATACAAATATAAACACCTTCGACAGACTTCTGTCTGGCTGGGTAAAAACAACAGAAAAGGATGACTCTCAAGCCAAGTGTAGTTCTAGTAAAAACTTGCGAACATTTTGAGGTTAACTTAGCCTCTCCTTCACTGGTGACTGTCTGGCAACGCACTAGAGGCAGCGTTTTTATGTGGTCGTCTGTATCAACTTCGACAACACCTTCGACGGCACTAAAGTTAGTGAAACAAAAAGACTATACATGGGATTCTGGTGCACACATACGATTCAGGAAACCTCAGTCAGGGTTGATGTGGGTCATAGAAACCCTTGAATTTGAAAAATTTGTTTTCAAAACTTCGAAAGAGCCGTAAATTTTGAAAATCCTTGAAAATGCTTGAATTTTCTTGCTTTATTTTTAATAAACATTGTCGCACATTTCACAGTCCATTATGTATGATGCTGTAAATGTAGCATATGAAAATTCAGGAAAAGCAGCAAGGAATTGCATAACTGTTTCTTAGTTTTGCCTGTCTGAATAAAGGTTTGCATCTTGTGTCATACTGAAAGTAGTTATATTTGACATAGAGTTTCCTATAAATACACAATAGGGAACTCTGGTGTCTATGAGAGCTACAACACAGGGTGCATCATCGAGCATGGGAATGATGGGTAGTAGACAGATTTGTCTAATCTTCATACTTCTGGCTTCGTTTAGCTTCGCATGGCGTGAAGCTGTTTTGTTACAAAACAAACATCGGCAAATGTTCAGCAGTTGATCCTCCACCTTAACCTTTTAGGCTTGCCAATTCAAATCTGGTCACAAAGGTTAAAACCGTTCGTTCTTTCATTCGAAACAAAACTAAAACGCACCAATAAAGAAAGCCACAAGCGTATTTGAAGCCTGCAAGTATGAAGACTAGGCAAACTTGTGTACTACCTGCCATTCCCATGGTTGCTGAATGATCACAGTACCAGAGACCTTTCTATTTAATTTGAGGAAACTCTATGATCTACGCAACTCTAAGAAACTATGATTGAAAGTTGTCTTGACAAAAAATGTCATTGTAGCTATGTTTTCAATGTTTGCTCGAGTGATGTTACCCTTTTTCGGCGAATTCTACTTATTTCAAGCCTCCATCCTACCCAAAAGATGTGCCAATTGGGTTTCTAATAGACAATATGGTCCTTGAATTTTCGTGATGGAAACGAGCGTGAACCCTGTGATAGCAGACACCATCAAGGATGCCAAGTGTATGTGTATAAGACCTTCAAATACAATGGCGTAGAAGACAACACAAAAATATTAACACTGTAAAAAATGATGGCAGCGAGGATAACACACAATCACTCAGAAATGCTGACCATGTCTTGCTGGCCAGTTACTCTAGAGGAAGTGGCCTTGAAATGTTGGGTCAGTTTTTATTAAAAATAAACTTGGCTGAAGAGTCATCTTTATGTAAAACATGACCATGTGTTTGTGTGATTGTGTAATTTAATAGCAGCCATGTTTTTTTTTTTTGTAATTTAGTGGTTGCCCATGTTTTTAAATTTGTGCTAACTTTAGAAAAAATGTGAAATGGCATTGTCAAAGGGGGCTAGATGTCTTTCTTTTCATCTAGCTCTCTACAAACAAGGCTGCTATATGGGAGAAAAACATTTTTCTGGATAGCGTATATATGACAGTAGTCGCATTTTCATATAGTTAGAATGGCCTTGGAAAAAAAAACTATGACAGCTTAAAAATATACAGTTGTTTTACAATGGTTGGATGCCAGTTCAAATGAATATGGTGCTAATTGAATAATAATGTGTGTGTGCTATAATATTAGTGTTTGACTGTGTCTGGCGGCTATTTCTTTCTCTTTATTTCAAACTGTATGTGTAACTGTCTTGTCACAGTAACAGCCTGCCATATTTCATGCATTGATCAGTGAAGAGTATTTGGTGCAAGTAATGTGGGCACTAAATATGCCTACATTTTGTCAATGCTGGACCGTGATTTTGAGTCCAAGCACAGTTTTCTTTCCTCTTTAGATGCTTAAACTGCCTTGAATATTTTTTTTATATATGCAGGTGGTCAAACTGGAGTCTTTGAAGTTGATGAGCTAGTTGACATTCTACGAGAGGAAAAACTGTCTGACATAGCTGTCATCACTGTTCCAAAGGAGATGGCTTATTCAGACTACTTGGTTTTGGCAACAGCAATCTCGTCACGCCAAGCCAAAGGAGTGACAGAATTTTTGCGAAAATTGGTATGCAACTAGTAATCATTTTGAGACTTGTACTCACCTTAACACAAAGGGATCCACATAACTTCTTCCAGGGGCTGCATTACAAGAGAAGGTGGGGGGGCATCCAACGCTGACAGCCTTTGTTTCACTGCTGTGACACGACAGGCAAGATTCATCGATAGTGTGTAGCACACCAAATTTGATAGCAATCTTCAAGGCCAGGACCTGAGCATGCTAATCAAGCTGCTTAGCTTACTGCTACTGCATAGAAAAATATTGTCTGAAATTCCAAAAAGGAGGAAAGCCCCCCTTTATCTCCCTACAGAAGCCCATGCCCAAACGAGTTTTTATAAATTGTCTAATGCATTTTTATATCTGATCAGGAAAAGAAAAGGTAAAGGTTTTGTTGTCACTAAACATAAATAATGACGGCTCGGAACAGCAGTACAAAAGCGGCAGAGTGGCAAATATAGTGGCGCTTGGATAAAATGTGATCCTTCTTTTATTTGGTGATACACAGCAAAGCTTTGGTTGAAAACAGATTGGACAACTTGAAAAAACAATAATAAAGTCTCTTGTTCTGTTTTTCTACTTGAGAAATTATGCATGGTATGGCAAAAAATAAAAAATAAAACATAAGAACCCTGTAAATAGGGGAATATAGCACTACAGGAACAATAACTATTTAGGCATAATGTCTCATCTTTAACTTAAGTAAGATAATAATGGCTGGCTCTAGATTCACTTCTGGAAATAGTTACATGCCATGCCTAAACCATAAGGTGCACTTATTCATTCATATGTACAAGTCGGACTGTAAAGTCATCGAATTTCAGAGGGAAAACACAATCATGGCATTACTACAAAAGATTACTTGATAATTCTTTGATTAGCTACCTGTTCTGCTGTACGTAAAAATGGCTACTGTGAAAGGGAACTTTATACGCAAAGCCTAACAGCATTCTGCAGACTTATGCGTTATGCAAAAAATATGTTTGTTTGTTATCAAAAAAGATGAATCACATGTCTTGTTATCATATTGTCGTTGTGGCTCATAAGACTCCTGCATTATTTTACTTTCTTGTGTCTGCATTCACACTATGTAGCGCTTTTTCTATGATAAACACCTGTTGGTTGCACCATAAAATTATACCTAATTAATTAGTCTCTTTCTGTAGATAGCAATAATGCTTTATCACGTGAGAAACTGAAGGAAATGAGCATTGTGCTAAAAGCCGTTGTGAATTCAATGAAATAAAAACCCGGTGCAGGTTCCAATTTACCATGCATTCGATGTATACTAATAATCAGTTTTCTGCACACTGTGATGAATTGTAAAAAGTGCAGTTAACCTGCCGAGCTAGTGGTTGTTTCTTATATGCACTTAGGTATAAATCGCATGAGATACTTCCATAAGTCAGGTGCACATGTGTAAATAGATGGAATTGCTTAAATCAATCTAGTTTTGTTGGTATGCTAAAGCAAACTGTATGCAATTTGTTACATTGAAGCTATTATTTGCATGCAAGTCACTTATCCCATCATCCCAGTCAGATTGGTCTTTAGTTTTGTTTTCAATGTTTTAAATGTGAAAATAAAAACTAAAGATTATATTTTTTTACTCGTTGATCTCTGAACAAGCTTACTAGCATTTTAATCTGTTAGCTGCATCTTGTTAATTCTGACTGCTACTGTGTGAAATGTTCTTGAGCTCAAAGAGATGTCCAAAGTTCTATCAATATAAGTTGTCATTGCCTAGAGCTGATGTGGGTGCTTGGCTGCCTAATAGTTCATAAAACTGTACGATTTTTATTTTTATCTTATCCAATTGAATTGCTAAAGGGCTGCGTATGCAGTGAAAATTTGATAAAATGAAATTGTACTTGCAGCAAAAAGAAAAAGCTTGATACATCTCCTAATTTAAGGTGAAGTAAAAAAAAAACGCCAGTAAAAGAACACCATAGCTTTTCAGGTCATCCGTGTTGATATTAGTTCATTAGAAGCTACCTAACAGAGCTAGCTAGCAGTTATCCCAGGTGCCTAGTACGGAGGGAACCATCATTTGAAATAAAAGATAGCTGACATATGGCTTACGCTTTTTCAGTGCTAGACATCAGTTGGAGCACCTTCAGTACAAGACATCATGTTTTGTGAGACTTAGTACTTTTACTCCAAACCAGCAGTATGAAAATATAGTCAACCTTCTTAAAGGCTTCTAGATCAGCATTGCACTCCTATGTGTGGGCAGCTTTGCACCTTATGGCTATGACAGATAGCGCAGCAGTGTTCCTTGCATGGATGAGTTGAATGCAGAAACCATGCACAGGAGTGGTTTTACCACCCAAAATGCTTCCAACGAAAACGCATGTGTAGGGTGTTTCATACTTAGGGGAAATCTCGGAGCGCCTGTCATCGCATTGTGACTAGCGCTGCAATCGCGTGTCGGCAACAGCTCACGCGTGCACAGACGCTTCAAGGGTGTAAAGTTGAACCGCATCGTCTGCTACAGCAGGGAGCTCGCCGCATTGTCAGCCAGCGCACAGATACGATTTTTAATATGGGAGCTGGGCCTATACACTGCACTAATTATTTTCAGAAAAATCTGCGCCACAATATGGGATACGAAGAAACAAGGAACCACAAACTTGTGCATGCTTTCTTTCTTCGTGTCTCGTCTTGCTGCGCAGTTTTTCCAGATGTTCCCGTACCAACTTGCCCAGCTTTCAACACATGTCTGCACTAAATGTTGTGCCATGCCAACTTCTCGGCCTTTATTTGTGAATGGGGCACTATAAACAGTATTCGACAGCATACCTTGTTTGCTCTATCGAAATATCGTGGCACTGTGTGCATTCACGAATGTTTCTTCATTGTGTGTGCGCCGCAGTAAGCTTGGATGAGGAAGACACGATAATGAGCATGCACCATGCGTGGTCTCTATTTGACTGCTGGACAGCTGAGCGGGTTTAACACAACAAAACAAATGGGAATGAATTCAGGAATGATTTATGATAGAACAACCACCTGAACGTCCTTATTCTCGACATTTGATTACAACAGAAAGGACTCGCTTCCGGCGTCGAAATGCACTCGTGACACTTCCAAGTTCATGTCCGAGTACCTTAGCCACTAGACCATCGCGGCGGGGCGGAACACATCAGTGACACCATGCATTCACTGCCGTCTGCTCATATTTGGCCGCACGTTAAAGAACCCCAAGTGGTCGAAATTTCCGGAGCCCTCCACTACGGCGTTTCTCATGATCATACGGATGTTTTGGGACGTTAAACCCCACATATCAATCAAATTAATCAATCAGTGATGTGTTCCGCCGTAGCATGTCTCATTCGTTGGCGATGGGGAGGGAACATCGCAAGATCCAGATTGAGCTGAATAAAACAGGGGCTCATCTGTCGTACGTTTTTACATTTTTATCTTGTCTGGAAAGAGCAGTATTGTCTTGTTTGCCTTGTTTACCATGTCTGGAAAGAGCAGTATTGTCTTGTTTGCCTTGTTTACCATGTCCCGTATATCAGAAAAAGATTGACTTAAGATTATTGAACTTTGTTTTAAAAACTACACTACATTTTGGAACCGGCTAGCGAATCTTGTGGTAATGAAATGTCATCGTAAAGAGACACATTCAGGCTTTGTCCTCACCTAAAACATTCCTGAATTTGTTCCCATTTGTTTTATCATGTTAAGCCAGCGCAACAGTACGATCGACTCTTACTCTTTAGTGCTCTTTTTATTCAGTCAAATCAAGACAACGCACATAGCGGGCTAACTGTCATGTCTTCCTCGTCCAAGTGTACTGCCGTGCACACACATTGAAGAAATATTCATGAACGCACACAGCACCACGACGTTTCGAGAGAACAAAAAGGTATGCAGTCAAATTCTGCTTGTAGCACCCTATTATCACAAATGAAGGCTGAGAGGTTGGCGACGCACAACGTTTAGTGCAGATTATCGGCCCAGTTCCTGCACTAACAATGATATCCGCGTGCTGGCCAGCAATGCGGCAAGCAAGAGCCGCCATAGCAGACGTCACAGTTCAAAACTACACTCCTGAATCATCTGCGCACACGCGAGCTGCGGCCGGCGGCGTGGTTTCAGTACTGGCTGCATCACAATGCCACGCCCTTCGAGATGTCCCCTAAGTGTAAAAAAGCCTGTACATGTGAACCCTGTCTTGGTCAACTTTCTTTAGATATTTTCTAATGTTACTTGTGTCAGAGGTTTGGGCATACGCTTGAAATGGCGAATTCCATTGGTAGAGCAGGAGCACTCAAAAGCACACGTAAAGTGCCCTTTTCAGAGCCGGCATGTTTCAGTGGTCGAACAGGTGCAGGAGCACTGTCATTCATTGGTAGAGCGAGAGTGCTTTTGCTGCGCCGAGAGAAGCCAGGAGCAGTTTGCAGTGCTCTCGCCTGGAAAACTGAGTAGGCGCAGTACGACAAGTCACATGGTCCTTGAACGTCACAGCCTTCAAATTTTTCTTCAGCCGGCGAGCGCGGCGGCAATGGTAGGAACCATATGTAGTTTGACATCGCTGTTTTGTTTGACATCGCTGTTTTGCAAACGATGAGAGCTGGACGTTTGCCGAATTAATCATTGCACAAGCATACTGGGTATTAGGATAATGTAGAATATGTGGCTGATCGAGTTCATGCACATTTTGCTGCTGCCTCGCAAAGAATATGCTGGGGCTTGGAATGCTTCAGTCATGTGGTCTCTCTACTCGTCACCTTCTCACCTGCCATCCAGGAGCACGGCGCATTCCAGTGGCAGGTTGAGTGGCCCTGCTCTCAGTGCTCTGCCCCTCTACTCCTGTTCTCTCAATGGAATTCGCCATAAGAACATTGTTATACTGGGACAGCACAACAACAATACTTTTCTAAATAGTGGGGAAAAAATGCAGTTTTCAGTGGGAGTAAAATTGGGAAGTGGAAATAGTTTGCTAGATCGAGGATTTCATTGAATTGAGGTTTAGTTCTAGTGCCTAGTCATCTTGTGTGCCTTCTTTCTTGTTTCTGCAACTTGCAATCAAAAGTCAATGTCGCACTTTTTAGTACTGCAATCAAGGTATTGTGCTTGCATACATGCTAAGAGCATCATATATATTCTTTATATTTCATTTGCAGTACAAGCGCAAGAGGGATAGCAGAGACCCAAACCTGGTTATTGAGGGAGAAGAAAGTGCCGATTGGAAAGTGCTCGACATGGGGAATGTGGTGTTGCACATATTTTTGGCAGAGACACGCAGACATTATGATGTGGAAACCTTATGGACTGTAGGGAGCCATTATGATGATCTTACGCATGCAAAGGATGATCCAGTCTACAACCTGCTGCAGCAGCAGATTCAAATGATGCAGGAGATGCAACCCAAAGAGCTTGATGATCGCTGTGCTCTGCATTCTTGATTTGCTTTGCAACATACATGCATCTGCTATACTATACTGTTAAGTCTGTTCACCTTGTTATAAGTGCAACCGGTTAATGTCACTATGTGTGTTTCATACCACAGTGTGGGAATGTCTAGTGAAGAATGCAGTTTGATCTGCACATGTCAAATGCAAACAAAGCTGCTGGTGGATACTGAATATTAATAAGTGCTATTTAAATTGAATAACTAAGCATTTTTGTTCTCTTTCATAACTGAGCCATTTTAGAGTTCTTGTTATATCCTGTCTCTAATGTAATTTTTTACTGTGCAGCTGATAACAGTATTGCCTATTTTCAGAACTTGTGACAATGCAGGCTACAATTTAATTTGTGTTAATAGGAAGCAACTGCTAAGTTTCATATCAGCCGCGTCCTAGACCATATAATTTATCCAGGCATACTTACCATGTTGTACTTGGGACATTGGAATTCATTTTAGTCAGCCTTCTGGTTTGCATATTTAATAAATAGCATGCTTTTAAATGAAAGCATTTTAGCTTAAGCCTGGTTCATTTTTTGAGCATCTGGAAATGTATTCTGCATATTGTTGGGGCTCTGCGCTGGGACAGCCAACAGATCTAGCACTGCATGTGTCAATTTGAGTTGGCAGCTGCGAGACTGTATAATCAGCCCAACCTGTTTTTATTTATTTTTTTATTTGTATAGCAATTGAGTTCTGTTACTTAGAATGATGACTTGAAGTTACTATGCTTACCAAGATACTGCTACAGCCCTGCAGTGTAATAGGGCATGTGTCACAAGCAGTTTTCTAGTAATTTACTAGTGCATTGTTAAACACAGGGTGGTGCCACTTTACAGGAGCCTCGGATAGCGAAGCATTGCAGCTTTTTGTATAAAGTAGCCGAGTTGCAGTCCAGCTTAGTGCACACCATGTTAGTTCGTTTCATTGAATTGAATATTGCACAGTATTTTGTAATGTTTTGGTCACTGAAGTGGTGCAGTAAAGTTGTCCAATGAAATGAATTAGTTGTAGTGATTTCACCATGGCTATAGGCAACCAACAATAGTTGGGTAGCGCAGCGATCGGCTCAGCCGTCAGCGCCATGGTGTCGATTCCGTGAAGCGCCAACGAGCCATTTCTACCGTGCATGGCATGAGTTTATCGTGCTGTTTGAGGCATGTGGGTGGTTTTGCATTGTGGTTTTAAGGCGATTGAAAACATCGGTGCCCATTTTCGACCACCGACGCTTGAAAAGGGACGCGCACTGTACAACAACGACCATGTTTATAGTGTTAAAGAAGTGAACACCGACCTCGCAGCGAAGTGTTTGTCACAGCAGAGCAAGCATGCTTGCGACGTTGAATTCCACTAAGCGCAAAAATACGACCGTACACGTTTCTCGATCAGCTGTCACTTGTAGTTTTATTACTCGAAAACCTCGAAAGCTGTTGAGCAGGAGCTGTCGACTGCCTCTTGTATACAGGAGTAAATATTGTCGGAAGGTAACCAGGATGATTCTCGATGGTGCTTTTTCGTTGTTGTCGAAATGCCTCGAGCATATTCTGGTATTCTCGGTAGGCTTCCAAGATGTTCCAAGATGAGAGGTCAACGGCGCTGAAACATTAAATTGAGAGCTATTAGCTGATACTCAATAACGCGAAAAGAAAACGTGTGCAAGTGTGCACGAGTGAAACGCAAATATCCCAATACGCGACGAGGGATGAAGCAATCAGCTGGCAATAACAAGAAAACAAAACACGTGCGCGAAAGAAGTGGCAATTTGCGAATATTCCATGTGTTACGTGGTGCACTCCAGCCTTATTTCTGTCGTACTAAGCGCGAGAAAGCCTCGGTATTAATGAGCCCGTTCCAGCAATCTAGTCATCGTCCTGTTGTACAAAGGAGCGGCAAGGCACGTTGACAAATCAATGCGTGGGAAAATGCGCCGTGCGTCCAAGTTCTTACGACGTCAAGTTTCATGAGTGACAACCGCTGTTCCGATTGGCTGCGGCATAGTGGATGGATGGATGGATGCTATGAGCGTCCCCTTTATAACGGGGTGGTGACAAGTATGCCACCAGGCTCGAAAAAAAAAAAAAAAAAAACCTTTTTTTCTTTTTATGTTGGCCTAATGCCTCTACTTCGATAAATTCTATCTTAATAGAAAAAAAGGTAAATTTTCAGCTTAAGTTCTCTGCCATTTACGGCACACTGTCCATATTTTATTTTTCCAATATTTATTTTTGTCCTTTCTCTCTAATTTTCTGCCACCAATACTCTAACCGTCTCTTACTTATTTCAATCGCGGGTGTGTTCAGCTTTCCATTGTTGTCCCTAAAACCCAAGGCTTCCTGTAGGCTCGTGCCCAAACGTACACCTGGGTGGATATCTCCACATTCAATCAGAACATGCTCCGCCGTTTCCTTATCTTTCCCGCAGCATGTGCATTGTTCTTCTTCTTTACTGAATCTTGCTTTATAACTACGCGTTCTAAGGCAACCCGATCTCGCTTCAAACAGTAAAGCGCTTCCCCTTGAATTATCGTAAAATGCCTCCCTCCTTATTTCATTTTTGCCCTTTCGGTAGTTACTCAAAGCCGGTTTTTTCTCCATAGCTGCCATCCAGTAAATCCTCTCCGCCTCCCTGACTTTTCCCTTAACGCTCTTTGTTGACATACGGCTTACAATACCAGCCGTATACTTACTAGTGAGTCTTCTAGTTCTTTTTCTCCATTGTGTGTCCACGCTCTTCCTATACAAATAACGGAACACCTTCTCTGCCCATCTACTCTCCTTCATATTTCTTAGCCTTTCTTCGAACCTTATTTTGCTCTGCGCTTCCCTCGCCTCAAAACCTGCCCACCCCATATCGCCCTTTACAGCCTCGTTTGTCGTCTTCCCGTGAGCACCCAACGCGAGGCGTCCCACAGTCCTTTGATTCCCGCTTGCACCTCTGCCCTCATGCACACCACTGAGTTCCCAAAAGTAAGCCCTGGAACCATTACACCCTTCCACAGACCTCGAAGCACCTCATACCTATTGTATCCCCACAACGCTCTGTGCTTCATTATTGCCGCATTCCTCTTTCCTTTTGCTGCCGAGGCTTTTTCCTGTACCTCCATGTATCTATCACTCTCATTAACCCATACTCCAAGGTACTTGTATTCACTTACCCTCGGTATTTCTTGGCCTTGTATGGACACCGTCTGATCACAGGGATCATTGAATACCATCAATCCACACTTCGTTACACTGAATCCTAGTCCAAGAGCTTCACCTTCCCTTCCGCATATATTCGCCAGCTGCTGTATATCATCTCGACTGTCCGCAAATAAGACGATATCGTCCGCATAAAATAAACCTGGAAGCTTCTGCTCAATCATCATGCCGCCCTGTTTGTGTGACAGATTAAAACCAATGTTGCTACCTTCTAGCGCTTTTTCCATACTCACCATGTACAGCATGAATAACAGCGGGGACAAAGGTTCCTCGATGCGCGCGCCCTCTTGGAGGGTGGAGCCACTCTTTGAAGGGGTGAGCATGGCCTCCGAGATTCCGTGCGCGCGGCCTGGTTTTCTCCGGCCGTTCCCATCTCCGAGCTCCCCAGCAAAACCAGCGAGTACCGCCTCACGCGCCCAGCTACCGAGAGGGGGCGCGTTTATTGTGGGTTCTTCGAGCGGTGGAGACCACGGCAGAAAGCAGAGCGCTCGGGATTTCAGCGTGCGCATAATTTTTTTTCTCGCATGTGAGCAAAATCACCAACAAATCATCTGACTGCACTGAAGGCAAGTATTTTTTTCTGTTAGTACTTTTGTTGTGGTCAAATTGGCGAATATAAGCACGGCAACTGCAGAATTTAGGTATTATTTAGTCTGTGAAAGAGGCATTCTAGCATTCCCCCTTACTGGAGATGAGTATGTGGGTGAAGACTGGGCTAGTTATTGTCGTTGAATCATATTACCCTCCTATCATTAGATATCGTTTTACTATTTTATCGCGTACCGATATTTATCAGGTGGCCAACCGAATGCCACTTACGCTCTAGATAATCAAGTGTGCTGATCGTGCCACTTATTAATGTGATAAGTAATTTTGCCAGAATATTGTGAAATGCTACAATTAGCTGACCTGCATTTACCCCATACGTCCTCCACAGTGAAAGTGCTTGAGTTATTATCGTCTACTTTTTTCGTCATGAGTATTTCGATTATGATTTGGTAGCACAATGGCAATATTAGTATCGTGTTCATTTACAGTTATCTCTACTGTATTGAAATCAAAGGGTCGCGCATGCGGCCAAACGGCGTCTTTCAGAAAACCAAGTATTTATCGAGGTAGACTACTGTAGAAAAGGATCGGGCTGCCATTTTCTTTATTTTTCGCCAGTGCCTCCCCCCCCCTACTATACAGCCCGCGAGGGGAAGCAACAAAAGCGAGAAGGCAGGGAGGTTAACCAGAAAGACATCCGGTTGGCTACCCTACACTGGGGTATTAGGGAAGGGTACAAGAAAGACGAGAAAGAGGGAAGAGAGGGAAAAGAAAAAAAAGGTGCGGGAGAGACTGACAGTAATTTCACTTCAGCGTGTAGAACTGTACCGCATGTCAGAGGCGTTCACACAAGCCTGTCTTTCTCAGGAAACACAGCAGGGCTTTCACTGCCTTGTGGGCTGTCGAGAAATGTGGACGTTGCTGTAATAGCAAGTGCACAGAAAGAGGCCGATCATCCAGTCGCCGCATTGCGTTGGCAAGCACTTGTCTATCTGAGGCAAATCGAGGACAATGGCACAGCAGGTGTTCGATATTTTCGTCGGTGCCGCAAACATCGCACGCCGCACTGTCAGTAATTCCGATTAACGTCGCCATGGTATAAGCTTTCGTGAAAGCAACTCCCAGCCAAAGGCGATAGAGAAGCGAAGCTGCGAACTTCTAAGTACAGTTTCGAGCACATGCGGATCTCTCGCAGATGCATCGCAACTTGAACTGCTCTAATATGGGTGGCGCCAATCTACACCAAAATAAAAACCCCATTTGAAAATGAAACGTCCCAGCGTTTTATTTGCCTCTCGTACACTTCGACCCTACATTTCCAACGAACACAAAGTTACATAAAAGCCCAAAACTATTTTTGTCTCGCCACATAGAAGCTTCGCCAACAGCGCGGCAGCCTTTTAAACCGAGAGAAAAAGAGCCGCGGTGCGGAGAAAAAAGCAGGCGACGCCCACCTCTGGAAACACGTGCTCTCCGTGCGATTGGGACGGCCAGAGAGAAACCCGCCGCGCGCCCGGAATCTCGGAGGCCACGAGGTGAGTGCCACCTTCCGATTGGCGGCCGCCATTCGGCTCCCCCCGTCTCGCCGCGGCTGGTTGAGTGAGACTCGTGCGCGCCGTTTTCTCGGGCAAAATACCCGGTTGTTTCGTGTCACAGTGCACAAACTACACTCAAAATGGCTACAGGATGTTCAGATTACCGATAGATTCAAATTAAAAAAAAATGTGACTCTTGTGGCTTCAAACGCGAGAACTGGCAACACAGGAACATTTCGTGTTTGTGCAGCGTAATTTATGCCATTTAAGCATTTCGAGTATTATAACTTAAAGCGCTGTCACCCGGACACTTTCAATCGCGATAAAGATTGCTGTGATTGACTCTCTTACACTAGCTGCAAAACGACGCCAATCACTGTTGATAAATTTGATTGCGATCGGACTTAATTGAGATCACCAGTGCACTGGGTGCAATACACGTTCATTTGCATACTGTGTACACACGTATTTAACTCGTTCATTTTGGATCGCACAAAATGCGTTGTTCTCAATCGCTTCTTGTGCACAAGCTGCAACTGTACCAAGATGTGTGCCTACATTGTGCACTTGTTGCTGCCGGTGCCGTCAGGTATTTCTTCTACGGGGCAGAGCCCTTTACGCCGTGGGTCGTATGTCACGTGTCGTCGTAGTGGCCAGTTGCATTGCATTGCATGCCAATTAAAACGGTGTCACAGCATATCCACGGATAATCTGTGGATATGCTATGCTGTGCTCCGTCCATGCTATGCTGTGCTCCGTGGATATGCTGGACGGATGGACGCATGAATGGACGCACGGACGGAAGTACGGTTAAACGCTTCGCCCCACACATTATCATTCACTCCGTGGATATGCTGTGATTTTTTTCTTTTCTCTCGAGAGCACGTGTTTTTTATTCTTTTTTTCAGCCAGCTGACAAATGGCAAACTGTTTTTACACTTTTGTGGAATGCACACAACACACAGACACGTTTAAAGGTCATGTGACTTAGGTGTGGGTGTTTCACATCTTTAAACTATATAAATAGCGACTAGTGCAAAAAGACGCTAATTGAAGGTGTTAACGCGGATTGCGTCGGTGGTATTTTTTCTGCTGCGAGCAACTCCAGTTGCTGATGTCACTTTAAAAATGAAGACTAGATGTCTAGGACCTTCACACTACCGATGAAAAAACATTGTGTTGCTCTCATATTGAGTACCGCACGTTTTGACGTAACAAACTCTGTATGCAGCCGTGCAACACTCGTTGGCTAAACGCCATGACTATAGGCAGCTTTCAGAGAGGGCACCGTAATGGCAGACTTCGTAGCAGACGACGCGGTTGTCTCCACCCTCCAAAGCTGCGGATAGGGGTGCGCGCATCGAGGAATCCTATTGTGGCAAAGTGGTGAGTTTCGGCAGGCTCCCAAAATTTGCTCCGAGAGCGATCACCCCTGCTGCCTGGTTTTCCTCCTGCTTTTGCCGCCTGGAGAGGAAGTTTTCCCGGTTTCCGCGTCGCCGCCTCGCCGCTTTGGCCATCCCGCCTTCGGAGTAAACGAGCCTTTTCACACTTTGGAAGTGGAGAGAAAACGAAAACGCCAGAACAGCCGGAAAACCACGACCGAGCCGTCGATGTTTTTTGCATTCGTTCTGCCCCATCACGCCGCCGCTGCCATCGCTACCTTGACAATTAATTCGATTTTGCCTGCTTTCTGAGCAGGAGAAATCGCTACTTTCTGGCCCGCACTTGGCCTCGAAGAGAGCGAAACCGGTGAAACTCTCCGGAAACTGGCTCGTTTCACCACCCAAGTGGCTGGAAAACCACGCCGCGCGGCCGGCACGTAAAAATCTCTCCGAGACCGATTTTCCCGCCACGCGAAACCGGATCCGGTTTCCGTTTTACAGCCTTGGCTGCGCTAGATCGAACCACGTGACCTAGCCAACCAGCCGGAGATTCAACATGGCGGCACAGGCGTCGGCGGTGGCTCGCATCGGCTCAAATTGCAAACTACCCGTGCAGCACGACGAAACTTGATGGCATCAACCGACTCCTTTGCCGCCATGTTGAATCTGCGGCGGCTGGTTAGGTCACGTGGTTCGATCTAGCGCAGCCAAGGCTGTAAAATGGAAACCGGATCCGGTTTCACGTGGCGGGAAAATCGGTCTCGGGTCGATTTTTTCGTTTCGGCCGCTTAGGTAGAGTGGCCTAGATATGTTTTGTCACACACACGCACACACATACGCACACAAAGTAGATTGTACCAGCGCGCGCGCGCGAATGGTACATACAGGTGTTTGATCTAAGTGTCTAAAGCAAGAGTCGCATGACCTCCAAGATATACGCCACGCGCGCTCGCCATCTTGGGAGGCTATAGAGTCTCGCAGTGCCTCACAGATAGCAGCGTATTATCTAGCGTTTGCTGTTTGCTTGATAAATGCCTCTGGAAAGATATGTTTTCCGCTAGATGGACATAGTTGTCCATTTTTAGAGCTGTTTGATAGTTCCTGTGTTTTTTTTTCAGCGGCGATGGCTGCACTATCCCGGCCTTTTTCGACGAAGTTTGGCCTTCCAAATGCGCCTACAAATCGCCGAATGAGATAGTCTTCGTCGTGACACCTGTCGAACAAACTGCGTCAAGGAGACTTCTTCCACTACATGGACTTAACGTAGTTTTTCCCCGAAGCAGCTGCAAGTAACATCGTGGCCTTGTGGTAGGACACTTGCTTGCGACGTTAACGGCCCGGGTTCGTTCCTCATTGTGACCGAAATTATTCTTTATTTTATTTGCTTTCTCGATTTTTCACTCACAACCAACAGTGCCGACGCCGGAACTGCAGCGACACGAGTTCTCTAACGCTAGCGCACTAAAATGCTATAGCTTAGCGTTCCTATTGGTGTCTTCGGAACAGATGCATCTTCCTAACGACTGCTGGTCTAAAACATCACTGAAGCATCTAATAACTATTATTAAACATGCTGTATGCAGCTAGTATACAGGCAGTATAGTAGCATCATTGGCGTAAGTCATGGGGGGGGGGGGGGGGGGTAGAGGTAGTCCGGACTTGTGAGCTTCAGCACGTGATATAGTTAAGTATAGTGCAATCAACTTTTTAAAAAGCTATCTTTTAATGTGTACCTGTGTTAAATGCCCCTCAGCTGTGTGAACTATAAAAATCGCAAAAAGGTGAGAAAAAGGGACTGACTAGAACGATGATGCAATCGCTGGAGCTCGTACCCCCATGCTCCTTTTTAAAAATTCCACTTGGAAGCATGATTTGATTATTATATAAATATACAATCCATATTAAAAATTCAACTTGACTGTCATGGCCCCATATGTCACCCCTCGCGATTTTTCTGAATTTATACCACTGAGTAGCATACTAGGACGATAGTGTATACAGCTTGCTTTTGGTTTCTCTTGCACTCACTGCGTGGTCCCATGGTTGAACTTCACTATTTTCAGTTTGCCAACATACTTTCGGTGCAGGTTTGGAGCAGTTACTAGCAAATAATGCACTTTGAAGCAGCACCTCTTTTGGAGCAGCACTTCAATCACTGCATAAGCTTTATATTTTGTATTTAAGATCATTTCGTGCACTGCAACCATGCATAGTACACTTTAAACCAGCCAAGAGTGAGCCCAGTGGTGTATGTGGAGAGGGACATACAGGAGTGTTCTTCCTCTGGTCAGGTACACTACCTCCCCAACATAATCGCTGCACGGCTTATCGCACAGGTAAACAGCAGCAGCAGCAGCAGCTTCAGTCTGGGTGAGCAGAGATGGTCTCTGCTTTACAGCAAAAACTTCCAATAGTGCCTCCAAGCTGCTAGCAGAATTCATGCATGTGCTTCTGCATTATCTCAATGTTTCTGAAGCTTATTAAAGCAAGAGTAAACAAAATGCATTTCCTCACCTCTGCGCATGTCCATCATGCAAACGTTACCCGAGGGGAAACTTCATTTGCCTATGCACACAGCACCTGACTTGTTCACTCACAGAATGTTTGACAGCTATATGCCTCATGAAATTATTAGCTTAATCTAGTTCTCTAATTGTATTGCAATGCATTGCCAGTGTTATCAATACATTGCATTTTGGAGAAAACTTTTCTTTCAAAATCATTTTTGCCTGCACATTGAATATCTTGCAGTGGTTTGGTGCATTCAGCATTAGACTATCGAGGCCACAGCAATTATACAGTAATACAGAAAAAAAAGAACAAGAACAGTGACAGCGGCAAGGTCGGATAACAAAAAGGGCAGTTCTTCGATTTTTAGGGACTTGGGCTAAATGTTGGTTTGTTGTATTCTCAACATATTGGCGCAACCGACTCCGGGGGATGGACCATGAATCGGATGGTGCCTAAATCACTTAGCGAGGGAAGGCTCGAAAATGAATTGATTAGCCATTACAAGTAATAATTTAAACTATTACCAAAAGAAATATGTATTACAAGATGATAAATGCCCACTAGAAGTAAAGTTCCAAAACTATTCAATACATTTCACTAGAATGCCAAGGTTATAACCCCAGCACGACCAATAAAGGCACCCGCCTCGCAGAGGCTTTGGGATTCGCACAGATAGAAGTATAAAATGGTCACCGATTTAAAGAGACATTTACAGAATTTTGGTCGGAAAAAAAAGGAGAGTGACAGAACTGTAGTTGTAAAGGTGTATGCATTAGTATATCAGAAATCGAGGCTTAAATGAAGAAACTTTAGCAAGAGAATGCCAGAAATGCTAGACATCAACAGATATGTTAAAACCTGATCAGGACTAACAGGCTAGACAATCATTGCCCATTTCAGAGAGACCAATAGAAATAACCATCCCCACAGAGCTGCACTCAAACTTTACAGGCCAGTGAACTACTCTGTATGTGTACTCCAATACATTTCTAAAGTGGCACAATCATGTATCACAAGCAATGCTATCAATCAGATATCATACAAGGCTTCTACTCAGTTTCATTCCCCACTAGTACCAATACAGAACAGCAGGCATAACAGCACATTCAGAATGACCGCAGAGTGGCAAACACTGCAACCCCTACACAAGAGAAAGCAACAAAAGAGTAAAAACAAATTGAAGAAACTGCACTGGCAATGTGCATGGTAGCTCCTTTGTCTAATGACATGACACCTTGGGATTTGGCTTTAAAAGCAAGGCAGCACAACTTCATTCATTTTTTAGTTTCAAGTTTTTCACTAAAATGATATTCAGGGAGAGGACAGCACAAGTTATCTCCATTTTCTCTAGATAGTAAGATTACGATTTATGAAATGTTGGGACTCTGCAATACATGCACAATATGCATTATTTAGTTTAACCACGACATTTCTTTTACATTTGCCGATTTATGAAATGTTGGTACTCTGCAATACATGCACAATATGCATTATTTAGTTTAACCACGACACAATTTTTACATTTGCACTTGATGGCATAGCAAGTCCTTGCTCATGCACACAATTATAAAGAAGCATCCACTACAGTTGCAAAAAAACTAAACATACTTTGATCCAATGATAAGACACAAGACAGTTCAATTTTTGCTTTTTTATTGTTTATGTACTTTGTATAGAAGATTTAAATTACACAACACCACAATCACTATGTAACAAGCAAACAGAACTGACACATCTATAGATACAGAATTACATGGAGAAAAAAAAAATGAAAATGGCCTAAAATGCTTTTTTTCATTTTTGCTGCCACACAAAGCTCACTTGATGTGAGCTACCATTCAATGTTCGCTATATAAAAGCTTGTGAACGGTAACCCCCCCCCTCCCCCTCCTGCCCAGACAACAGCCACCAGAAAAGAAAGCAGCTTAACACTGACCACAGACACATATCGAAGCAACAGAAGAGACTGTTGCACTTCGTTTTATTCCACAAAAAACTTGTTTACTGCTCGTGCCATTTCAATCATCAGTGCTTACAGTTCAGCATTAATCGTCAGCAGTAAAAACACTCTCTCGTGTAGAGACACCATTCGCATGCATACAGGGGTAGAATGGAAATGCCACACACAATTCAATCTGTGCAAACAGCACGCACACTGGCCACAGTGTAAGGTTCCTGATGTTCTTGGTTACAAGCACACAATTCAATAAATGGACATAAGAACTGCACATAACTTATGCCGAATGGCCAGTTTTCGGTACTTGTATTCTTGGGGACACAATCTCTACTAGGCCCCTCCTGCCCAGACAACAGCCACCAGAAAAGAAAGCAGCTCAACACTGACCACAGACACATATCGAAGCAACAGAAGACACTGTTGCACTTCGTTTTATTCCACAAAAAACTTGTTTACTGCTCGTGCCATTTCAATCTTCAGTGCTTACAGTTCAGCATTAATCGTCAGCAGTAAAAACACTCTCTCGTGTCGAGACACCATTCGCATGCATACAGGGGTAGAATGGAAGTGCCACACACAATTCAATCTGTGCAAACAGCACGCACACTGGCCACAGTGTAAGGTTCCTGATGTTCTTGGTTACAAGCACACAATTCAATAAATGGACACAAGAACTGCACATAACTTATGCCGAATGGCCAGTTTTCTGTACTTGTATTCTTGGGGACACAATCTCTACTTGGCAGATACCATTTTGGTAAGCCAGTAAAAGGGAGGTGCCATTGCAATGACCTCTAACATAAGTAGATATAAAAAGGGACATGGGATGTTGAAGGCGGGGCAAGCATAGGTAAAGGAAGCTCTGTCCAGCCAGATTTCTTCATTTTTTGGCAATTGCTTCAATAGTCAAAGCAGCCACTATTTTCTCACAATATTGCAATATACAAATCATGATTATGCTAAAAAACAAAACATATGATTTAAGTTAAAAAATGGGTATAACATTAAAAAATAAACTCTATATACACATGCTAAAACAGACATGTTTGTGCAAAAGGAATCTCACTTTCATTTTCGCCCTAGAATAGATGCATGATGCACCAGGCATTATGTATGTAATATATATATATATATATAAGAAAAGGAAAGTGACAAAGACATAGCAGAGGCTGACTCATGCACACACCACTGGCATCACAACAAGCCTGATGTGGATTCCCGCTGAGGAATGAGGGGGCGAAAAAAAAAAAAAGCTTTGGTGGTGGAAACTGGAAAGGAGGAGGAGCGTGCACAGTGCAATAATTATTGTCGTAGCAACCACTACTTGGCTATCTAAGCTTATGTGGCATAGCGCTTCGTCCACAATCGGGCAATGCGGTCATGCTCTTCCCTCTGCTGCATGAACTGTGTGGCGATGCTGCCCACCAGAGGGTCCGCTGAAAATTGAAAACATTTCAAATCAGGCTAACCGAACTTTGATACTTTGTATCATGACTGAAGTGCATCATTGTATCTGCTGACTACTTTCATACTTTGTTTCGGATAGTTCTTAAAGGAGAACTTGTGAACGCTTTAATCATATAATATTGCCATTGTCAAATGTTATTGATGGGCCTGTAATAGGTAGGGTGGTTCATTTTCTAAAACAGGTAGCTCCCTCATTTTAAAAATATATAGCACAAACACTTGAAGCAAATACAAACAAAACAGTGTTTTTCTTCTAGTGTCAGTGTTTGTGCACACGACATATCCTGTCAAAATCTACAAGTACCAACTAGCCCAAGGAAGCTGCTTCAAGCGACATATGTGATGATGTCATACACTGCTGCACTGTAATCTATGGCATGAGAAAAGAGAAACTGACTATGTGATTTGGCTATAAAATGTACCGCGCTAGCATCTGGAAACTTGGCACTAATGATTTATTTGAGTGCGAGAGGATCGTTTTGTTTTTGACTGCCTACTCGGGACGGTAGCAACATAGAATACGATGTCACAAAGACCCGGATGCCTGCACTTGAAGGAATGGTACAAGGACTGGCTAAAAATGAGGAAGACACATTTTCAGGAAAGCTAAGGGACTTGGAATCGCAGAGTTTGGCAAATATATCAATGCACCAACAAAAACATACAATGAAAATTTTATTCAGATGAGTGGACGTTCAAAAGTCACTGGGGTTGCTGTTTAAGGGTCAGACACTAGGTCAGTTAAGACTAAAAGAGAGACCCTGCTTTGGACATAAATTTTGCTTAATTTCAAGTCAATTTTTAATGACACTTTCACACCATACCTATTTTGATCTTTTTATGTATTATATAGTTTTTTATATTATTTTCATGTTCCTTAGAAGGAGCAAGTCCTTTTTTTTTTAACTGTGATAGTTACAAATTAAATCAACATACCACTATAATTTAGAATGATGGCTATGTGCAAAAAACAAAAATGAATGCTTTAGGCTCATTTGAACAAAAATTATGGCATGTCAAACAGTAGAAAGTGACATCCCAACTTCACATGAAATCGCTTCAAAGTTATTTTTGAAATCGCACTAATCTTTAGTCTTATTTTAATCTACATTACATTATAAAGCTGTCAAACAAGAATTATAGTAATATGACTAGAAGCTGAAACATTGCTGCTCCTAAACAGCAAAACTGCCAAAATAGCCATTTTAAGAAAACGAGCAAAAACCTTTTAAACGTTGTTTATTGGCACAAAAGTAGTGCGAATGTCCCTGAAGTCATTCATAATGCATAATTCAGTGCATAATCCGGATGCATGAAGTCTTTATGCTTTTTCGAAACACTTTTCTTGAGTCCTTCTGAAGATCCATGCCTATTAATGGACATGGCACTCCATCGTTTGTCCTTCTCAGCTGTTCGCATCTTGCCAGTGCTGGTTGCATTCAGCCCCAGTTTGCAAAGAATTGATGCTGCAGAGTGCGTGTTCCCTGAATTAAAATGCAACACTATTTCAGCAACTGCTGCTTGGACAGCAAAAAGGGAAGAGTGCTTCTCTTTGGAGATTAGACTCCAAATAACCGAATGCAAACTTTGATTCGAGTTTTGTGTCTTTTCTTTTATTCCACTCTTCTTTTTACTAAGTTTCTTAGTGTTAGTTTTATCAATTTACTCATCTCTCTGTTTTTACTGTTACAGTGAAAGCTCGTTAATTCAAACTTCAATAATTCGAATTTACGGATAATTCTAACTGTAAGTTATGGTCCGGCCAAGATCCATACAAGCCTATGAATAAAAAAACCCGTTAATTCGAACGTGAGTAGATTCCGCCGCGGATAATTCGAACTATGCACCACCGCGCCAGCGGCTTGGCTAGTCACTCGATAGGGCGACTGCAGAGTTACAAGGCGGCGTTGACGGGGAGCGGAGAGAAAAATAGAGAAACTGTCACGGAGGCCAGAGTCCAGAAAATAGCGCCACTTACTCTTCACACCCCTTCCCCCACAATCTCTCTCTCGGCGGCTGCCTGCTCTCTGTCCTACGTACCGTATAAACGCGTGTAAGGGCCGCACTTTTTTTTCAGGAAATGAGGGCCAATTTTGAGGGTGCGGCCCATACACGGGACTTTTTTTTTTTAAGTGAACTAAAAACAATGTACCAGTTAGCGAACGAAGAGCGTTTGTTGCAGTATGCCGCGTGTGTGCTTAAGGGGAGACGCGGGTCGAAAAGTCGCGTTTTTTTTCCAAATTTCACCTTTTCTGTTTTTTGTTGCTTTATCATCTTTATACATTATATTTTGACATCTGAAAATATCACAGCGAAATAAGCATCAGAAGTCAGTGAAAAACGCGTCTGAGTGAGCGGCAGTGACGCGCGGCATCACGAAATTTACACAAACGGGCTGCTGTTCGCGTGCTCGCGGGGCCGCGAAGAGAGCTGTCCGCCATATTGCGGCCGCTGGCTCGTGTAGAGTTGTCCTTACTCTCCACGATCCCGGTTCTTGAAGTCTCGTACGTTCACGAAAAATCTAAAAAAAAAGCAACAAAAACAGTCTTTTTCCCGCCGTTTCAAACCGCGCGCCACTAACGCAGGGCCGCCATTGGCTGACAGCACCCGTGTTTTCTTGCCGTAGTTCGCTTCACTGTTTTCCGGAGTTATTTTTCGCTGTTTTCGTGCGATGGCAAGCCCGAAAAAGGCCGTTGCCGACCATCGGAAATACAGAAGTAAGAACAAGTTCAGAGGGAAGCGGCGGAGGACGTACAAGAAAGCCACCGCCAACGAAAATGTCCGCGACGGGCCAGCGGCCGGTAGGCCTAACATCGACCACGGCAACGTCGACCATGGCAACTGCGACGACGAGATCAACGCTGCAGTGAATTTTGTGAGTGCATCGCAGAAAAAGATCGCGTTATTCGAAAACGACGTCAGGCCGAATGCCGATCGTGCCGAAGCGTAGTGCTGTGCGAGTTGGGTGCATTGACGGCCGTCGTCGCAGGCGCGGCATGCCCCGTTTGTCACGAGAGTAAACTCGCAGTTCGGGCACCGAATAAAAAGCGGAAAGGCCTTTCGGCGTTTCTGGAGCTACACTGCGAGAATGCGGAGTGCTTGGAGAGCATCCTTTCGTCCGCGTACTCGTCGAAGCGGGTCGCGTCAGATGGCGGCCGCGGTGCAAGCAGAAGCTACGACAGCGGGAGTTCGCGTGACGCCTTTGCCGTGAACCTGAAAGTGGTGCTTGCAGCGCGTGCCGTCGGTATCGGGCATGAGCAACTTTCACGATTTTGTGCAGTAGTTGGATTGCCAACCCTATGCACCATAAGACCTTCCATGCTATCGGCAAAAAGATTCACAGTGCGGCAGTGAAGGCTGTCTGTGAAAACATGCAAAGGGCACGCAGCGTCACCAAAGAGGTGGCTGGTAACAGTGACGTGCCAGTCATGTTTGACGGCACATGGCAAAAAAGAGGCCACAAAAGCCACAATGGTGTGGGAACTGTAGTGTCCTTGGACACTGGTTTGTGCCTGGACTATGAAGTGCTTTCCAACTTCTGCCTGGCGTGCAGTTTGCATAACGACATGGGAGGCGATGAAGAAACATGGCAGGCGTTTCATCATCCCGTTTGTGAGAAGAATTGCGACTGTTCTTCGCATGCCATGGAGGCCGAAGCTGCAGTGCGCATTTGGCAGAGGACTGTGGACTATGAGACACCCCTGCGGTTCACCATCTTCCTAAGCGATGGAGACAGCAAGGCCTACAACGGGGTCTGTGATGCCAACGTGTACCCTGACACTCCAATTGAAAAAGAGGAGTGCACCAACCACGTGGCGAAACGTCTGGGCACCGGCCTGCGGAAGCTGCCAACGCCACTTCCACGAGGGGAGAAGCTGAAGGAGACCACCATCCAGAAGCTTCAAACTTACTTTCAGGTGGCCATTGTGAACAATCGGGGAAATGTCCACAAGATGTACACTGCCATATGGGCCTCATGTTTGCACTCGTGCTCAACAGACGGTGCTGGAAGTCACAAGTTCTGTCCTGCAGGCCCAGACTCGTGGTGCAAGCACCGACGTGCTGAGGCGCAGGGCCAGCCTGCACCGTGCCACACCCCCCTCCTGACCAGGCCCAGGGTTTGGCAGTCCTCCCAATCTACAAGCGTCTCACAGATGCGAAGCTGCTTGCCCGGTGCCTCCACGGCAAGACACAGAACGCGGCCGAGTCCCTGAACAGCAAAATATGGCTGCTGTGTCCAAAGACCCGGTTTGCTTCCCGGACTGCTGTGGAAACAGCCACAGCCATTGCAGTCCTGTGGTTCAACCGGGGCCACGCGAGCTTTGAAAAGGTGCTGGAAGAGCTTGGGGTGCTTCCTTCGGAGGCCCTGGTTACCCTCAGCGACCGCCGAGACAGCATGCGCATGCACAAGATGAATGTGCGTCAGACCGCTGAGGCGAGGGCACACCGTCGCAGTGCAGCCAAGAGGGCCCGGGTGGAAGAGTCCTGCCGCACCAGTCGGGAAGGGAAAACCTACGGTGCTGGAGAGTTTTAGACAACTGATATTCCCTCTGGACATGTGTGTATGTGTTCAGCACAAGTTTCGTGCTACTGCGTTTTTCATTTTTGTAAATACAGACTTTCAAACTTTCAAACGCGTTTTTCTCATTTCGCAATTTTGGCCAATTTGCATTTTTTGCGGGAAGTGTTTCGGGCACTTAGAATGGTCATACGACGACGAAATTTGGCACACACATTGAGGAGAGTGCGTAGGGTGCCGATATCTACTTGAATCAGCACAACCTATCAGCTGTAAATATCTATTAATAAATTAATGGTGGTCGAGTGGAAAAAAAAGGGTAGTTTGCTACACAGATGTTTTTTTCATAGTTTCAAAGTTGGAGCACAATTTCTAGCTAGATATCGGCACTCTATGGATAATAGAGAGCAAAAGGAGCCATTGAACAACTCTCTGCATGAACATTTAGTA